TTTGTTTCTTTACACTATTGTTTCTATTACACTAATTTGTCGATTTACTAATTAGTTCCCTCGTTTGAAATAAATTGTGCGCTCAATTTTATAAATCATTCCCTCATAAATTGTGCGCACGAACTAATAATTTGTTCCCTCATTTTAAGTAAATCGTGCACTTGATATAATAATTAATTCCCTCATTTTAAATAAATTGTTCTGCTTCCTGTCCGCATTCTCATAAACCTGTTGCTGCTATGTTATGTTATGTTATGTTATGTTATGTTATGTTATGTTACCCCGCTTTAAACCCTAGGTAAAGATATGTTTCACACTTGTAATGTAGAAGCGAAGTTAGCACCACTTTTTACCAGGGTTATGAAATGAAACCCTGCTCAGAAGCAGGGTTAGCACCGCTTTTGCCAAACTTGTACAGTGTGAAATGATGTGGCGTTAGCATGTTACAGTTCTTATCAACAGACACCCAGTCCTCGTATTCAGTGTTACAGAAACACTGCGTGTTGTATAAACAGCCGTTTCAGTGTTTGAGAGGAAAAATGTCAAATGGTGACGGAAAACACATGAATTAGAGTGAAGAAGATTCTTACCTTCCACTATTCTTACCACTGAAAAGTCCATTCTGGAAAACGTCTCAGGTTACGTATGTAACCCTAGTTCCTCGAGGGAACGAGACGCTGCGTCTCGGTGCCATACTTCCGGCGTCCCTGCCAGCGCTCACTTTAATAGAGGAACACTTATTATTGTGAAACCCAGTGATTTTACTGTTATTCACTCCATTTTACTCTCATTCAGGGTTATCTTATTTCCCATTTCTATACAATTGTGTCAACATGAGTCATACTTCTTAAGAACAACCGACAGAAACGTCTCCATTCATCCTGTGTGCTGAGGTGTGGTTGACTCACACTAAGGCTGGAAAATAATGAAGTGAAAATTGGATAAAGAGTCAGACACTCAATATGGAGTTACACTGGAGACCAAATGGTGCCTTCCATTTTCCAGGGTGGTGGAGAAGGGCTACTACAGTGAACGAGACGCTGCTGATGCAGTTAAACAAGTGCTGGAGGCGGTCGCGGTGAGTGTCTCACACTTCACGTCTGAAAACTGTTTTCTTCTTCTGCTCTTTCTTTTGCTTTTCCTGAACTAGCAGTGAAATCGTGAAAACGCCGGGAGCGAAGCGTACGCAGTGGGAGGCGCTCGCAATGTGGGCAGCCGGCCCCCTCAAGAGCCGACTTTGCGTGCTTCCCTCCCAAGCAAACCACGCACAGGCTGTGTGTATCCCCACTCGTGATATAACGTGGGCAGGGAGGAACACACAACCTATAACGTGGCTTGCACTCGCCCTTTGCATGCTTTGTCTTAGCGTGAGCCTTAGACATAGCTGCTTATTAGACTTTTTCTCACAATAGACAGACAACAATAAATATGACTGACACACACAGAGCGCTTCGCTGAATGACAGAAAAGCTGACGCTGGCTCCGCCGCACGTGCTTTTATAGCTTCCTGGTCATGACGTCATCCGCCGTGACGTCCCGTTCAGCTATTGGACTGATTTCACATGTGATTCAGAGCGTGGGTCGCAGAAGGCGTTCCCCTAGCGTTTTCGACACAGCTCGAGTTCCTGAAGAGGAACTGAATAGTAGGTACTGTTGGCAATATATTTTATGAGGATGCGCAATGTAAACACATCGCATGCTGCATTCATCTAATCAATGACACTGACTCTGAAAATATGCAAATTGGAATGTTAACCCAGGATTTCGGAACAGTGTACAGGGTGAAACATCAGTTTATGAATACCCAAGATTTATAGTTAACCCCGGGTAAATTATGAGAAGTGTGAACCATGAAGCATGATAACCTAGGATTCAATTTACCTGACGTATAGAAAAACCAAGGGTTAACTATTTGAAGTGTGAACAGACCTTAGTCATTTCTAGAGACCATAAATCATGAAGACTTGGGAGTGAGTTCTTTTGACTTGGGCCATTATTAGACTATTGAAATGCCCTTAGCAACCACTCAGAAAACCCTAACAACCAGTGATACTGTATATCTCATGCAAATGTATCTTAGGCTTTAATATTTACACTTACAATATATACATTAATTCATCAGTGAAACAATCATTAATGGAAAGAAAATCCTGTTTCCAATATGAAGTCATCATAAATGGATCTAGATTGGTTATGAAGACCACAGGAGACCATTTATTGTTTTTTCTTCTTGAATGGGCAAGCAATTCTACTATATTTCTCCCTTTCTCTCTCTCCCTCCCTCCCTCCCTCCCTCCCTCCCTAACCTTCCTTGTGAGGCTTATTTTTATCATTTACTATATATCTTGTGCATGCAGTTTCTGTTTATATCCATCATGTATCCATGTGCTTTAGTGATATAGGTGCCTGAATTCGAAAGTAGGCCTGTTCTTCATCTGTGTGAATGTATTTTAAAAGCATTTTTGTTTAAAGTGTGTTCTCCACCACTGGCTCTCACTTTATCAAAGATGGCGGTTGCCAAGGAGATAGTAAGAAAGTGGGCAAATTTCTCATGGGCTGGATTCAGTTGGTGGGCTGCAATAAGAGAACGCCAACTCTCCAGCTCCCACCGGGGCATAAAATAGAGCAGAGGAATGGAAAAGTGAACACTGTGAGTCCCTTTTGAAGTGACCCGCCTTTTCAGGGAGCGTTTTTTTAACGTGTTATCGTGTGAAGAGTTTCACAGTTTCCCTCACAACAGCAGAATCTGTGTGTCTGTCACATCAAAGCCAGCTGGTTGTGTGGCATGCCTCTGGATCTGTGTTTTGTAGATTTCTGCCAGTCTGATTGGCTGGGGCGTCCTCAGTGGCTTGGGACTTTGCAATATCTTTGCAGTTTTCCTTTTGAAGTCTGGAGCTCTCAAAGGTGGTGTATTTTTTATTGCTGGATTTGAGAATCTTTCTTGCAGAGAAGGTTTGAAACTAGTTGATGCCACCAAGTTGATTCTACCTTGTCATGTGGAAGCATATAACATATTACTGTTTGAAATGGTTGTTGTGGAATATTGCACACTGTTTCACTTACTACTTAAAGTTACGGTAGGCAGGACACACTTCATACTATAGAAGCCCATTTCTGCCACATACAGTATTAAAAAATAAAAAGGTCAGAGTTTACTTTTGACTGAACATCTCACAACTCAGACTTTTTTTTCCCCTCAGAATTGCAAGTTTATAACACAATTCTGAGTTTATATCTCACAAATTTAAGTTAACATCTTGCTATTCACTTTTTTCTCGGAATTGTTTATATTTGCAATTCCAACTTTTTTTTCCTAAAAATTGTGAGTTTATAATAACATTTTTATCTCAGACATTTTATCTGTTACGAGACATTTAAAAAAAAATCTCAGTTACAACTTAAATATCTCACATTTTTAAGTTAAACTCAGAATTCTGAGAAAAAATTCGGGATTGCAATATGTAAACTCAGTATTCTGGAAAATAAAGGTCTGAACTGCGAGAGATAGACTGTGGAAATTCTGTGGATAAAATGTCATAACTGCAAAATTGTAACTCAAAATTGTGAGATATAAACGCGGAATTGCAAGAAATGAAGAAATGAAGTTGCAAATAAACCAGGGTTTTGACAACACATTTTTTTCATCTACATTATTAATCAGGATATGAAGATAATTTCATAATAAACAATGTTATAACTGTAAAACTGAGTTGTAGATGGCAAGGAAAGACAACTAAAACTTTGAAATTACTAGTTAACTAAAGAAAACCCTAGACTAGTTAACTTTAGAAAACCTTAACCCCCACACAATATCTTTTAACTGTCACATGACCCTCTGCCATACATAGTTATATCTAAATGTAAAAATAATAATAGCCTGATAAAACATCCGAAGTTTTTTACATTTATTTAATTTTCTGCCTAGAAATACTGAGATTGAATTATTGCAGAAAGTAAAGATAAAATTTGCAAGAGGAAAAAAATACTCAAGAAATATAAAAGCAGATATTCAAAACATATTCAATAATACTATACCAATTAATAATTAAAGATATACATATGCACACCTATACATCCGTCCATGCATAAACAAAATATACATCCTATACACCCTAAACATCCACATTACATTCATTAAACAATCTAATACCAAAAGTAATAGTAGAACTAGCATAAAGTTTTGTCCTTGCTTTGAATAATGTCAAATTACTTTTCTTCCTAAAGAAGCCGACCAGTTTTTTCACCCCTGGTTGGTGGAAAAAGATCACGAAGTGGATGATCATTCTGAGTCATCTCTTGTATTAATTTGATGGTGGATTGCTCTCTCCGACCTTGTAGATCAGGTAGATGTATTGATGTGTAAGTAAATCTCTCAATAATTCGTTGTGCTCTCTTCTGCATGCTTTCCAGTAAAGCTGCTTGCTTTTTTGTACAACCAACTAACTGCACATTTGCATACTCTAGACAGGGTCTTAGTAGGGAGCAATACATACTGACTAAATCATCAGCAGAAGCTCCATGTTTTGCAAACACTGTCAAAAAGTTGTTCGCAAACACTCGTCAATATGAAAATTTCCATTTAGTTGATTGTCAAGATGATACCCTAGGTATTTTGACCGTAATACCACAGGAACCTCCCAGTGTGATTGGTGGTGGTTGTGTTGGATTTTTTGCAAAACACATCCTTATTTCGACAAATTTGTTTCCATTTAGGAGCATGTTGTTATTTTGTGCCCAAGTTTCCAAAGCAAGTGCCTCCATTTCCATCTTTTTGTCTGTTTCTATGTCTTTTAACTTTAAAGCTTGTGATATACCAATATCATCTGCATATAAACCGTGTCCATTGTATCACCAAAAATTACTTCACGGGTTGACATGTGAAGTAAAAACATATGTGGTGACACAACTCCACCTTGGGGCACCCCTGATGTCACAAATTTCCATGCACTGCTTTTACCGTTTGCAACCAACCTTTGTCGTCTTCCTGTTGTGTAGCAAAACAACCAAGCCAACAACTGTGGACAGAGGTTAAGTGTTGTTAAATGCTGGAAAAGCCTTGAATGGTCGACTCGGTCAAATGCTTTTGACATGTCTGCCAATAACACACGGACCATAGATGGTTTTTGAGAGTCTGTCTCCCCTAGCCATGTATGTATATTCTTAACCAAAGCAATCAAAAGCATTGCTTTTTATAGCAAGTTTGATTTTTTTATCAGTCAATCAAGGTTTGTCAAATGGTTTAACTTTCCTTTGCAGTGGCATGCATATTTGCAGAGCTGTCTGGATGTGAGTATTAAAAATCTCCACTTTTTTCTTAACATCCTCAGCTTCATACACAGGCGACCATACACTGTAATGGCCATACACTGAGCAAGGGCTTCTCTTCGTCTTTGGTAACATTTCGACCCACTCTATATTCCCTCTTCTTAACGTTGTTTTTACCAATAGGGCCATCAACACTGTGCAGTGATCACTTGAACCAACTATTTTCCTGTTTAACACTGTAAAGTTGCTTTGACACAACCAGTAGTGTATAAAGCGCTATACAAATAAAGGTGACTTGACCAACTGGAGCAAGCATGCTTGGAGCACTGTAGTTGGTATCGAGGTTTGTTATAATCAAGTCTAAAATAGCCTTTCCTCTGGTGTTTTCCTTAACAATCTGTTTAAGATCTGGATGACTGCTAATAATGGACTTGATAGGTAGTAGATTAAAGTCTCCACAAAGGATTATGCCGGCTTGAGGTGATTTCATCTTTACTGTGTCTATAGTGCTGATAAGATAATCTATAGCTTTTTTGTCGCAGTTCTTTCTCATTTGCCCAAGGTGGCTGATAGAATAATCCAATGACAAGAGGCAAGACTGTCTAAGTTGTATCCATATACATTCTATATTTTCTCTCTCCTCTCTCTTCTTTTATAGAGATTACTGGATACATAAACAGCTAGCCCACCCCCTCTCAGTTTTGTTCTTGAAACTATATCTTTCCTAAAGAGTTCATAACCTTTAACATCCAGGATTTCATCTGGGATGTTTCATGTGCCCATGTCTCTGTAACACTAGCAATCTTGACTCCC